AAAAGTAAAATCAAAAGTAAAATCAAAAGTAAAATCAAAAGTAAAATCAAAAGTAAAATCAAAAGTAAAATCAAAAGTAAAATCAAAAGTAAAATCAAAAGTAAAATCAAAAGTAAAATCAAAAGTAAAATCAAAAGTAAAATCAAAAGTAAAATCAAAAGTAAAATCAAAAGTAAAATCAAAAGTAAAATCAAAAGTAAAATCAAAAGTAAAATCAAAAGTAAAATCAAAAGTAAAATCAAAAGTAAAATCAAAAGTAAAATCAAAACCAAATCAAAAGTAAAATCAAAAGTAAAATCAAAAGTAAAATCAAAAGTGAAATCAAAAGTAAAATCAAAAGTAAAAGTAAATTCACTTTAGCTAGGTGGCCCATGGCTGCCACGGACCGTGGCTGCCACTACCATAACCCTTTGCGGTACGTGCCTTGTCGATGTGATCAATGGCGGACGAAAACACAAGAAGGTCGAAAAGCGTATTGTAAGATTGTGTTGGATATCCCTAAAGAGTGAATCTCACAACCCTTTCTAAATAAGCCAAGGCAGCAAGACAGWTAAGGGTATAGGCTGCAAATGGGAAACAAGCATCAATCTTTCTGTGTCTTCTGTGTATTAAAAGCTTCGTATCGCTTCGTGCCTACAATGCTTAAAGATAAAGCTTATAAAGTTAACTTTATTAAAGTTAGGGCTTATCAGTTAAAGAATGAAGCTTCAAATCTAGCTACAGAGGAGAAAGCCAGTTGGACGTGAACTTTTCACGGGCCGGACTACTATATTTGCATCCCGGACATATTTTGAGACACAATGATTTTAACTCTCGTCGATTGAATAACTTACAATCATTACAAATTTTCCTTGATTTTGGAGGAAACCCTTGAAATGATGATTAATCCTTAGTAGTTGTAAAGTAATGTTTTAGGGATCAATTTGGTCAATCCTTTTTGTGGTACCTSTTGTACTAWTGTGCAATATGGCAGCTTGAGAAATTAATAGAAATTGRGGAAAATCTTCTCCAAAAGAGAACGTTTACTGTAATGTTCTTATTGTTGTGTTGGTAAGACACAGGTTTACAGTAGTTAGTTTACTGACTGTATTTTTCTAAAATTTGATTGCCTAAAATGCTGAGGCTGGCTAAAGTAATTATTTCAAGAATATGTGAGTACTKCAGTCTCTGCCTCTGTTGTAGACATGACAAAAAAGTATAGGAAATTTCATTGSAAAAAACAAATGCCTGCAGAGCATAGTACAGTTAGGAGACTCAGTTAAAGTCACTCCCACTTGAGGGCCTTGAGTCACATCAGAAAAGCTAGCGTGTACTTTCGATTTGCACTGACATTACTTACTTGAATTCTTTGAGTTATATAAGGGTGTATTTGTATTTTCAATTTGTTGCTAACAAAGGGCTTTGGAGGAAACTGGTGTGCATTGGGGTAGGGATGCTCATCAAAAATATGATRTTAAACACTTCAGGTGGCTGCATGAAGTCAAAGGGTTTTGCCCAAGTACAACATAAGAAGTATAGTAAGGATCCAAAAACAAGGTTGTCTCTKACAGTACCAGCTCTCTGATGTTCATGCAAGATCAGTAGGTGTTTTATTTTCTTCTGAAATTGTCTTTTAGTAGCATATGTTTTATTTTCAAATTGCTTGTTGTGATATATAAAATGTATGAGGAGCATCCCTASTGCCTAAATTACCCCAAMACCATGAATTAGGTTCAATTTTGTAATGTTATTGTTTATATTTCCATTTTTGCATTTTAAATCTAAAACATAATGATTACAACAGATGAGAATGAGTTTGATATGCTTTGATTAGGTGCTTCAACATTTAATTACCTGTAATACAGAAATGATTACTGAAATAATGATTTCGGAAGATGTGTTTAAAAATGTAAAACAACAAGACCTCTATTTTGCATGGACTTGTAAATATGTGGCTCAGTTATTAGTGATTGTTTAATCATTCTAGTTTATATACACACATAGAGTGCTCGCACTTTAAAAAGCGTGAAACGAATAGTACTAATTACTGCTAAATAGTGTTGATTATACAATAGGAAACAAAGAAATTTGTATAATTTATCACCTATTTTGTAGTATTTATATTTCACGCATTTAGTACGAGCACTCTACTTTGAGAAGTGGCCACTGAATAGATGATGGCACCTTAACAGGTGACCCTTTGATGGTCTCACTGTATTTATATGTCATATATATATATATTAAAAACTATTTTTTCACAATATTGACTTTGAATAAATAAATGAACTTTAACTACATCTTCTCTGTCTGTCATTTTGCTTGCATATATTTTGTCCTTGATTAGGATGCAATCCAAGTGTGTACATTACAGTTTTTTTCTCTGTACTTATGACTCGGTGGGTGAAATTCATGTTAAGACCACAGCTCAGAAATGAACCAAATGCAAAAACTACCCACATTGTTTGGATTATAAACATCATGTTACCAAGCCATTGTAGAGTAGAACAAAGTTGCAGTCTTACTGTGAGGAAGGTGTTCTAATATCAAGTGATAAAAATATCCAGCATACCTGTCTCTACAACAACTGTTTCCAATGAGCTCTTGTGAAAGGGAAGGACCTTGGCAGTGGAAAAAGAAATATTAAATTGACTATTTTATTGATTTTAATACATGCAGGAAACGATTATAACCACTTTCAGAATTTAGTTATTTATTATATCATTTCTTACCTATGATGACGTTACATCACACATTGACAACTGACTGGGCTGGCCTACAAACGTAAGCCTCCCGTGTCCTTTTTAGATCCCTCTAGATCCAACTGGAACTACGCTATTTTTGACTTCATTTCATTCATTGTAGCTTTATACGAATACGAAGCTTTTAATACACAGAAGACACAGAAAGATTGATGCTTGTTTCCCATTTGCAGCCTATACCCTTATCTGTCTTGCTGCCTTGGCTTATTTAGAAAGGGTTGTGAGATTCACTCTTTAGGGATATCCAACACAATCTTACAATACGCTTTTCGACCTTCTTGTGTTTTCGTCCGCCATTGATCACATCGACAAGGCACGTACCGCAAAGGATTATGGTAGTGGCAGCCATGGTCCGTGGCAGCCATGNAGACCTCTCGGCCTCGTGGACTACGAGCTAATAGCCCATTCGGCCTCGAGGACTCGCCCTCATGGGCTATTAGCTCGTAATCCACTCGACCTCGAGGTCTAATTGTTAATTAGCGTAGAACATTAGATATTTGGGTTGGGAGGGGAGGGACAACCAGTGAAAGCCCCATGTGCATCATACCCTCTGCATTATGACTCGTTTGATATCATTGACATAAAAAATACATTAGGGATGGAGCAACAGATTTTTTAAGTGAAGGTTGGTTAGGCAATAATGTTAACACGGCAAACAAAATCAAGTACAACCTAAAGGAGAAAGTTTTCCAAAATGTTTTGTGCAGTAGTCTCCTTCACGTGTCCTTGCGTCATAGAATCAATTTCGTATGAGTGGGAAACGGGCGGTACTGTACTGTAACCGTAATCGTACTGTAACCAAATTCTACTGTCTCATTGTTTCACAAAAATTGTGCAGGCCAGGTCCGGTAACTGTACGGTAACCGTGCGGTAATTTCTATCGTACGTTTCCCACTCATACGAAATTGACTCTATCTCAAGGTACATGTAGCTGTGCCTCTTGCGTCAAACGAAGATGGTGACATGACAATGAAACCTTTTTAAGGCCGATTTACATGGTATGATTGTCACGTGACTTGTAGTATACGACTCAAATGAGCGCCAAGTCGTGCTGTTTAAATGCCTCTACGACTTGCCTACAACAGTTTTACGCAACCTACGACTTATACGTCTTTGAACCACGTCTTAAAATATGACGATATGTTGTAGGAAAATCGTATTCTACAAGTCGCACGTGACAATCGCATTGTGTAAAGGCCGATTTAGACGACACAACTTTTCCCTGCAACTATCGCATGCGACCTGCGTAAGTCATCCTTACAACATGGCTACAACTGCCGTGAGGCTATTAAGTAATTGTTTAAAATCCCTACGACAGTTGTAGCCATGTCGTAAGGATGACTTACGCAGGTTGCATGCGATGGTTGTAAGCAAAAGTTGTGTCGTCTAAATCGTTGTGAGTTGTGAGTTGTCATCATAAATGTTACAAAGGCAGAGATACCTTCCCAGATATCACTGGGAGCTGTGAAAGAGACAACTGTTGCACTATGCATTTATAAACTACAGCAACAAAAAATCTTGAAGTGGAAAAGTATTTAATAGTATTATACGTACCTGTCATGCGGATTGATGAGAGAAATAAGGAATCTGAACAATTCTCTTATGCAAGGTAAACCATAAGGTATCAAAGGACCTGAGCCTAACAAACAAAAACATAACACATTGAACATGCTAATAATAGGTGAGCGCCAATGTTTACGTTTTTAGCTAGTTTGCATAAAAGTCAGAAATTGAATTTCAAGCCACAAGAACATCGAGCCCATAAATGAAAAGAGCTCATACCTGTTAGCAATTCCTGAAAATTTGAAGGCAATTGGTTAAATATTTTAAGAGATATCAAGCGCCGAATTTGCAAGAATTTTTAAAGAAATGACCGTGGTTGGCATTATGTTGCCAACCACGAATGTTTTCTATAGATTTTGTAGTTTTGAAATGCCGAAATCTCGAAATATAAAAAGGGCGTTTGCCCTAAAATTTACAGGTTTTGTTGGCATTAATATAATCTTGAATTATATGAGTTCAGATTGTCTAAATTGTTGAATTTTATATTTTGGATGTAAACAAACGACATCATTGTATGCCCACCTATAGCATTAATATAGCAGCATACATTAGAGTGCTTTTAGTTTGACTATTGAATAATTTCTACATTATTAATTATGTTTGCTGATTAGGTGACAAACTACTGCAGTAACTGGGACAAATTAAAGAAAAATTTCAAAGCAAAGTTGATGGAGTAACATGAACAGTATATGAAACCCAAGACAATAGCATTATTTTGATATTACTTGCCAATCATATTGAACTTTTCTGTGTGAATGTTGTTGTGTTTTAGGTTTTTCATACGTGGAAAATGACGTGACTTCAAATATCTATTCACAATCCATCTCCATCCATCAGATTAAGATCGAATCTAACCAATATATCTCCATTTTCAGGAGCATACAATCATGTACATRGAAATAAAGGGTAAGGATGGGATGTATTCTACAATTAGATAACAGTCTTGGCTCTCGACCAATCAGAAATTACGAAAATTTACAATTGTGGTAAAAACCCTTTACTTACCTTCCTTGTGGGGTTCCTGTGGAGTAAACCTCACTCCTCTAGGGTTCACATAYTCATCATGAGGACCTGAAAGCTCTGACAATCTGCCATCAGCATGGACKTCRACTACATCATCTCCTTCATCTGTTTCCAATGAAGTGGTATCCTTATTGTCATCAAGGTCTTCTTCTGTCATGATAGTACTGGCAATGCTTTCAGTACCATCCTGAGAATGAATCATAACAACATTGTTATGAAGGTCAATAACTTAGAGCGGATTTCGTATGAGTGGGAAACGGACGGTACTGTACTGTGTCCGTAATCGTACTGTAACCAAATTCTAGTGCCCCATTGTTTCACCAAAATTGTGCAGGCCAGGTGCGGTAACTGTGCGGTAACCGTGCGGTAACGGTGTCCCACTCATACGAAATCCGCTCTAATCAGTCATTTTGCAGTCAAAATTGCACAGTTAGCCAAACACTTTTCTGTCAAAACATAAGTTAAACAAACACTTTGACGTCTAAGTCGACCAGTAAACCAGACATTTTTCCGTCTAAGTCAAACAGCTGGCCAGACAAGTCTTATTAGTAAGTCAGTTAGGTAAACACTTCAACATCTAAGTCAATCAGTAAACCAGACAATGTTGCCGTCTAAGTCAATCAGCCGACCAAATAGATAAAAGATAAAATAGATAAAGTACCATGATCTAATGGCCATGTTTGATCAATTTTTGAGTTCTGAAGGCAATGGATGGCAACTAAATGTATTGCTCAATCTTTTGAGCTTCCATAGCCTGATTTCCAGATGGGCCTGGGACCAACGCAAATGCCTTCCTTCCACAAACTTTGTCTAATGGACATAACCTCAAACTATGTTTTCTATGTCTGTTTTTTTTTATTACCAGTTTTTCAAAAAACAAAACAAGCAAACAAACATAACAGATTCAAATAAGAAACAATTCAGATTTGCCAAAAATTTATGCATGACAAATCATTTTCATTGATGGATGAAAAAGCACTGATGAATTAAAGGAAACAGTTGCAGATTTTGGGGAGGAAAGCTTTAGCATTGGACCCAGACCTTTCTGCAAATCAGGCTTGAGAAAAATGAAAAAATTACCTGCTCATGTGCCCTCTCCACAGCTCCATCTCTATCTTCATCAGAAATWACCATCCCCTCAACACTAATTACATCACCATCTCCCTCACCCTCTTGCATAATCTGTGAAGCTACAGAAGGCTCACTTTTATCAGAGGGCTCAGGCGCATCRCCTGATGAGGGCCCACTTTCAGATACCTCTGAGCCCACCTCTATAKTGTCCCCCTCAGTTTTAGGTTCCTCATTTGTATTATCAGTTTTTGGATCATCTGTATTTTCTGGGGGATCCTTGCTGGTACCAGTCTCTTCTGTGTTATCTTCCCTTGTTTCTGATGGTTCTGTTTGCTGAGGGACTGGTTCTGGTGTGGCTGACTGKTCTTCTGTGTTTGTTGATGATAATGACTGGGAGCTTCCATGGTGGGCTCTACGTGGCCTGGGGGAGGCATGCTTTTTCTTTTTTCCTGAGGATATTGCTCCAGCTCTCTTGAAGACCTTCAAATCAAAGAATATTATTTATGAAGACTAGCACATGATATTTGATAAAATATGTTTGTGGAAGTGTTAGTTTCTACAAATAAATATAGAATTTCTGTTGTGAAGTCAACAATCTTATATGAAGGCTGTATAAAGACCTATAAACTTAGTTTGAAAAGACACCGATCAGTTTAAGTACTTGATGTTTGTATTATTTTCACCATTATAAAATATTTCGAGCGAAAAGAAAATTTTGCCGGTAAGCCGTGTCTCTGTCCTCTGATATAAACACGGTCGTCAGCCAATCAGAGCGCGTGTTATATATCAAAAATAAAGTAAAATAAAGTAAATAAACCTAGCCTGAGTCAAAATCTTACAATAAATTTAAACACCAAATCACATTAAAGCAAGGAGAACGTATTATAATAAAATGAAGTGTTGATGTGTAACAAACGTGTTGTTACCTTTCTAATGTTTGGTATTTGACCAGGTTTGAAATCCTCCTTGAACTGTGGCATCCTTGGTTATGTAAATCAAAACAAGAATTCCATTAGTGGTATTCAACAATCACGCCATTAGGTTCAATGATGAATGGYTATAATAAAATTGCAAATTAAAGAAAGAGAAGTTGTAAAAACATGGAAAGGCGTACTTCACTAATATGCAAAAATATGTAAAAGATTTGTTCATATTTTGAAAGTTTATGACACAAATAGAATGTGTACTTACATTTGTTCCCAAATTTGCCCAAAATTTCCCTGGGGAGGCCAGGGGTAGGAACAGATGTTTAAGCAGGCTATTGTGAGTGGCTGCGTTATACACGACTTTCCAAAATGATGGCAGCTCACAACTGCCAATATTGGGGAACTAGTGACAAATCATTCAACAAGACCTCAAAGGCCTTCCATCTAGAAATCACTATGAGGATCACTACATGTATGTAGTGTACAGAAGTTTGAAAGATGTCTTGGACGTACATGTACATGTATGTTATTGATAACAAAACACTCTTGCAAGACACCATGAAAGTTTACTGTATGGTGGCTGGCCTTTGAGARCTAGTTTTAGCACTTTGTCCCCAGTGCCCTGCTCTGCAAATACGACATCTTACACCATTTTTGAAAGTTGTGAATATACAATAATATTCTCCTACCTTGAAAACAGTAACTGAACCATGTCCATCAGTGTCTGCTCTGCAGACCGTCGCAACAGTTCTACAATAACAGACAATATCATACTAAATAATTTGCTTGGAGATTGRCCTTATATCTTATATTGGGGGCACTAGATACATGTATAAAGGAAGAAAACGTTTAACTGGTCTTGGGAAAACAAGGAATCCCAGCCTATACAGGAACCCCAAGACTGGTGATTTTTGGACACCACATTCAHAATGAGTATTGTTTAGGCAGCTATTTCAAGATTTCTCAGCCAGCCTAGAGCTACACTTATTAAATATAATATTCAAAAATAACTAACACATACCACTCAGTCTTGTTTCAAAGCAAATTCTAAAGCAAGATTGCATGATTTCACAGACAGATTCATTGGTCATGTGAGCACCAACAGGAGTCAGCAGCAAYGTTCTTAGGACCTGAAGGATTTTCATCAAGACTACTTCATCGCTGCTTGGATCTGTACCCACAAATCTTGCATGGGTAACAGCATCTGCAAGATTTTCAATGCCTGATGCTGCACTCTCGCATGTGGGATCTAATAATTAGGAAAGACGATTTTTGAACAAGATATTTTTTGATGTTTGCAAATTGTTTCAAGTGGCGATTTTCAAAAATTGTCACATTTCAACCCAAACGGCAAAAAGCTGTTTGTTTCATTCATTCATGGGATAAAGCGCCCAGGCCATCCCCTCAGCAAAAAGCAATATGTTAATTTCATCAGATTCAAGGTGTTTTCCAGGAGTTTTAGTGATTTTTTCCCATTTTCAAAGGCTTTTCAAGAGCTCTTGAAAACGAGTTTTCAATTCCAGGACTTTTCAAGGATTTTAAGGAGTAGCWCGAACCCTGGAATTAAAAAGTAATGCATGGCTAATGAAGGGGTTGAAGTATTTTCAGTTATACCTATCAGTCCATATGAGAGGAATTTGTTGACAGARGCTAAAGCRACWCCAGTGATAGGCCCTGTAGTGTCCTCTGATCGAATCACATCCAAAAATGGACCAAGAAATGTGTTGACATCAACTTCACTAAGATCTGAACRAAAAAGAAGCAAAACATTGTCATTGGACATTATAGAAAATTATTTTTGACTATAAAATAATTATTATTTACTTTTAGCAGCTAGGGAATATGCAGGTTAAAATGTCTGCAAGTTTTTAGGGATATCTAGAATTTCTGGTACTAAAACTATACATTATACCACACTAAATAATGAGGCAAACATTATTTTTTATCCCAATAATTATTATGTATTCTTAAAAAATTAAAGTGTTTTGTAGGAATTTGAAAATTCTTGATTTTCAATCGTTGACCTTGAATTGTATGAGCTCTAAAATCTTTCAAGTTTAAAAAATTGTGAAAAATATCTAGAAAGCACAATTTTGATTAGAAATCAGTTTTATAGTTGGGAAAACAGTGCACATTGTACAAATTTGTTTCAGAATAATTCAGAGAACCATTAATTTTATATAACGCTTCTTGGGGATAAATTGCTATTAATAAAGCTCTTTTGCACTAATTCAGCCAGATCCATGTAGGAGTAATTTTTCATTGGTCATTCTTAGTTCATTGTTAAGATGAATCAGAGATGTTTGTACAAAATACGACAAATTGTTTTGTTTTGTTTTATCTAAAAGCCTGGTATTTAAAAACGTAAGAATTGTCCTTTTAACTGATTTATTTAAAACTACATGTACTAAGCATAACATACATTTTGTAAATTGAACATACATGTAAAAAAAAGTGGCAAGAAAAATACACAAATACAATTATATTTCAAATCTGAATTTAATGAATTTTGAAACCTAATCAAAATTCGAAGTCACTAGTGACAGTGYTGACAACAAAATGCTSCTTKATTTGGCTGTCCTTTTGGCTTGAATCACTTGTAAAAAATGTATTAAATCTTTTTTTATTTAACCAAAGGAAAATATCCTTAATGAACATGACAGAATAATGCATATATGGAGAAGGCAAATGATTATACAATAGAAATTTTTTGTCAACGAAAAATATCATATCAAGCAAGAAAATCAATTGAATTGCAAGCAGCTGGTCCRTATTATACACTACAATGGTCTTCGATTTGAACAATAATTTCTTTTTCATTTTCCGGAGAGACATGATTAAGCTGTTCAAATCTCTGTCACCCTTACCAAGTAAGTTATCCCTGGCTTTGAACAGAGCCCTGGAATTTACAGTCTGTTCAAATGCTCTTTTGACATGCTTTTAAAAATAGATTACATAAGGACAGAAATCTGACTATTCGTGTTAAAATATCAAATGTTTTTTTTCCTTACTTGGTCTGATTTTCAGCTCACCATTTTGAACAGTAGAAATATTTAGTAAAGAGCAGTGTGTGGTCATATTTGCCAGAGGACAACATGATATTCGTGGGAAATGGAAGCTTTTGTGATCTATTTTAAGGCACTATAGCCAGATAATGTGAAAAATTGCTGATAAATTATTCATGAAAAAATGGATTCCTGTCACCATAAAATCCTGAGTATTGAAAATTAAAAGATAATGCAATCAAAACAATARTCTGCAGAATTAGAACATTTTTGTGAATGATCCAAACTGGAGACAAAGCCTGCTTTATTGAAATTTTATATATTTATTTGTTTTTTGCTTTGTTCATTTGAACATTTAATTTGTACCCAATTAAATGAATAATGTCTGAGGCTTAAAATCGCAGACATTACTGTAGAAACTGAGATTGAAATGCTACACTTGGGAATTGCATTATTTGATCATGATTTACAGCTGTTTGCATTGCTAGTCACTCAACTTGAGCCCAGATAAAAGACGCAATGTGCCATTGTAGAGCACATCAATCAAAATTGTTGGTATTGTTTTAGAACAACAGTAAGATCAGGAATTTTTGAATTATTGACAGCAATTAATATTACCAATTGCATAAGAAATAATAAAAAAATCAATGGGCATGCATGTTTTATGTCTGTAGAAGCTTAAAGTGGTCGTCGAGTCTCCCTATCCAGTGGCTAATGTTATGTAAAAGTCTTAAGACTCACTTGTATTTAAAACACTAAAACGTTTAGCAAATTAAAATACTCCTCCCAGCTAGTTTTTAATGGGGGAGGAAAACCAGCATACCTTGAGAAAGAGCATTAGAGCAATGAAGAAAAACTATCACTGGAAAATCGATAAATGCATTTRGCACCTGACCCACCCTTATCATGATAAGAAATTTGAGTCGTCTCTAGCTTGATAATGAGATTTATTGCACTGAAGAAGATCGCAGTTGCGGTCGAAATGTCTGCAATAAATTTCATTATCAAGCTAGAAACGACTCAAATTTCTTATCATGCAACATCCTAGCTGCAATTTTAAAATACCACCCTTATCAGACCATCACCTTATCATGGTGGGATGGTTTGAGTGACCTGGTGACACCAATATCTATGCTGGCCGGAGTGTTTGCCTCCTGGTAAGGTCATACAAGCTGGACAAGGGGTAGGGTCCCGACAAAGAATGATCCTTTGCTTTTCCTGGTTAGGGGTTGGGAAACTGGGATTGGTTGTAGGATTACTTAATGTTTGAGTACCAAAATGTGCTTTGTATAGTGATTTGCTCATGATCAGATTGTATCTTTCATCTCCAAACTTATTTATCTATTTGTGTCTATTAGAATTCACCGAACTATGGTATGCCACAAATCCAGATTTTTGATTGGCCATTGCACTGTGATCATGTTATACCATCAGTATAACTATATTAACTATACTTCAATCGATCCTGCCTAATATATCAACTTGTACTCCCCTCAACCTTGTAGTCTTATTGTTTAAAATATCTAAATAAGTAACTACTTCATGAGCTGGTGAAAAACGCTCTTGACTACCAAATTTAAGGCACCTTTCTGTTGCCTGGGTATTGCCTTAATACTTACCATTAGCTGTAGACAGTATGTCCTTAAGCTGGGAGAATCCATGCAAAAGGGGATCCTGTTCTTCATCCTGTGTTTAACATAAACATTATGTCGTTATCTTTAAAAAATAATTGATTAAATTCGACAAGCCGGTATTCAACTATTGGCTTATGGAGGTCAATAAGGCCGTGTACAGACCTTTAGTCATGACTCTAAGTAACGTGAAACGTAGATTGCTCCCAGTAATCAAATTGAATAAAATATTATTAATATCAATGTTTATTCATAAAGACCTGTAGGAAAAACTACATAAAATATTATACAACAGCAAGGACCTATATTTAAAACCTGAACGATCATTCAAATCAGATCACAGAATCGGTGAAATTGAATCGAAACTTATTAAAACTACACAAAATACCAATTATAATAAATCAAAAAAGCGGTCTTGTTGTACCTGATAGCTGTGAGATCCCCATCGAGCATTTCTCCTTAAAGCTGACACAACCAAAGACATTTCGCCTTGAATAATGTAGACTGCATTTCGGCGAGTCGCCATTTTCTTGACCACCACAGCCGACTTTCAACATAAAATTTAATATAAAACTTACAGAATATACACTAAATGAAGAGCCCGTGTTGAACTTTTATCCTGAATCTATCATTCGAATTATTTTGTAGCAGGTGAAAAAACCGGAGACGTTAAAAATTGGACCCATTTCGAGGGGAATTCCTAATTCCTGAGAACATTGTGAACTGATGGCTGACGTCACGACGTACACGAAGTCGAAAAAAATAAAAAGACTRGGGCRAGGATGGCCGTTTKGAGCTGGTAACGAATTATAKTGGAACGCCTGTTGAAAAATTACTGAAGCTTGAAGCAAAATATGGGAAAATTTTATTCAAATAGACTTTAATRTCTCTGGATTTTGAATAAATGGATGATGGAAAMGACAACGGTGAATCTAACGACTGGAGCCCTTTCGAGCATCAAGTGGCAGGCCACATATATGAAGAAAACCACGGTAAAATTAGCGAATCTCAACAATAACTTTTGCTGRGCAAATATTCACAAGCGTCAATTTTGACGCAGCTGGCATATTGTGGCTTCATTGGGATTTGATTGGTGCTTTTACTTGCCCATTTGAATCTCAAATTCCTTAATTTTTCTAAAAAGTAACAATTGCGTTTCTAGGACAACTTGTAGTACTGAAATACCATTTCGTGTTCCTTCATGCAAATAAGGTCATGTTAACTTATTAAATGAAGCTTACAAATTTATTGAGCTTCAGTTATAAACAGTTCATAAGATCCCCTTCATACTTTTTCACTATTAACGGTTTATTATAGGAAAAAGAATTTTTGAAGCATCGAATTCTATAAAACAATCTGAAGATTTATATGAAACATTTAAATTGTTTGAAGATCTTTTGGCCATATTTATCATTGAATTRCCTTGACTAGATAATGCAAGGGACTGTGTTTTATGGATTTGAACTAAACTCAAAGGAGAAAATTTGCTTGATTTATATACTCACCAATTGAAAATAAAACTACCAACACAGATCATTATTAAATTTATACAACAAATAGTGGCAAAGGTTATCAGATGGTTTGAAGCTTTTTGTCTGCATTCCTTTGTGCATGACCTCTGTAAAGTTTTAGCAGCAGCAAAAAATAAACTGCAAGACCCTTTCTAACCAAATCCTACCCTAACAATGGAATGTAGATACATGTATGGCAGTATCAGTCTACCATCTTGAAAGGAATGCAGACAAAAGGTTTACACATACATGTATGTAACTAAGCGGCCCTACATGCCACCTAGGCGTAATAGAAATGATGATGTATGTAACTAAAATGGAGGTAGCATGATTTTGTCTTTTAAAGTGCTACTTGCATGAAAATGGCCTTATTTCAAAACTTCAAGCAATACAAATATATGACTCACATATATCTATTAAAAACAATTGCGGGAAAATATTTGTTTTGGAATTATCCCATATCAGAGAAATTTTGATTCAAAAGATGAAAGAACAAAAGGATGGAGTAAATGACGTCATCTACTCCAACATATTTTGCCCAAATTATTAAGGATTTGTATCAATATCTTCTTGAAATCTGTTGCTTCATGATTATTAGACCCATTTTATGGATAGGTCTATTTGATTTCCAAGTCTTTTCTAATGTTTTGCAATTTTTGTCCAAGTAGCCCTTTAAAAAAACTTTTTTGTGATAGCCGTAGTATGTGAAACATGTCAAAATGATTTCTTTCTCTTTGTGGTGAGTGTGAAACACAACACACTTAGATGTAGTTGATTCAAGGTTTAATTCCAGTGAAAATATACTTAAGTGGATTTTCTGTAACTGCACAAGTGGTACATGCAAGTGTCTGATCAGAAAAAATATAATTTTTATTAATGATAATTATTTTTATTATTATGACAGGTATGCTCACATCCAAAAATGGCACTGTCTTGAAACCAGTGCAGATACCTCCAAAAGGTGAAAGAGAGGTAGAATTCTATGAAAAACTCTTCAAGAGGATTAAGAACCCAAGTGATGAGGTTACCACTTTAAAAAGACTTGTTCCTTATTATTACGGTATAGTGCGAATACCTGAATACAAGCGTCCATTGATAATTGGTATCCTTTTGCTATTAACAAACTTTTAATAACTTTTAAAGAATAATTATATGAATGTATAGCCTGTCTGTCCTTCTCTCTGCCTATAAAAAAAATCATACTTTTTACAAACTTGATGGATGTATACATGAGAGAGTTGGATTAGCCATTCTGGAGTTATGAAATGAATTGTAATTTCAGTC